TCGTTATAAAATTGGACACATTGCAAAGGAATACAAGTCCAGTGCCAACAAACAATAGATGAAACCTCACTATAAAGCAGTTGAAGCTGTTTAGAAAGACAGTGCTGATAAGAATCAAGAAACGAGTGACTGGCATTATGGATGTTGGTGCCAAAAGAAAGCGAACCAAGACTACTCCTCAGATTAGTCTCAAATCAGACTCAAATTAGCAAATGGATCAACAGTGCCAATAGTGATAGGAGCATGCAATAAATATCAAGAGGTGCCAACAAATCATAATATGCCAATGTGTGAAGGCTATGTTGAGGACAAGAAATTAAAGGTTCTACAATACACTGGATGCAGTGGTGCAGCAATGAGAACTAGTCTAGTATCCGATGATCAGATGACAGATAAGGTATGGCGGCTGTGTGTGCTAATCGATGGAAAAGTGAGAAAGTTCCCCATAGCAAAAATAAAGTTGGATACTCCATATTATGTAGGAGACCTTGAGGTCATGTGTATCAAGGAACCAATACATGACTTGGTAATAGAAAACATACCAGGTAGTAGAAATCTGGAGGAACTAAACAGAAAGAAGCTTGATGAAGCATCTGCTGTCACAACCAGAGCTCAAGAAAAAAAAGAGTATACAAGACATCCAGCCCCTGCAAGTGTCAAAAGGTAACATCTTGAATTGGGTTTGTAGGAATTGAAGGAAGCACAGAAGAAATACCCTTTATTGCAGAAACTTTGGGAAAATGCCCGGAAGAAAGTCGAGCACAAAACAAAAGGGAAAATACATATATAAAAGAAGAACAGAAAGGAGTTCTATATCAAAGCAGTTACATTGGGGAATTGAAACAGATCATAGTACCAGCAGAATATGAAGTTGGCTCATAAATCAATTGTGGGAGAACAACTAGGAATAAAGAAAATGGCAGACATAATCACCAGTAACTTTCATTGTCCAAGAGTCATAAGAGATGTGAGTAGATTCTGCAGATTGTGTGACATCTGCCAAAGAACAATACCAAAAGGAAAGGTAGCCAAGGTGCCATTGAGGAAGATGCCTCTCATAGAAGAACCATTCAGTAGAGTAGCTGTGGACTTGATTGGACCACTAGTGCCTCTGTCTGATAAAGGCAGCTGGTATGTGCTTACAGTAGTCGACTATACAACACATTATCCAGAAGGAATAGCAGTGGCAAAATAGAAACAGAAAGAGTAGCAGAGGCCCTTCTGGAGAAATTTTGCACAGTAGACTTTCTGAGAGAAATCCTGAGTGACAGAGTGTTACTTATTAGAATTTCAAATTGTCTGAAATTGAGTTAGTTGATAAATTTAATTTTAGTAGTTAAATTGTACTTTGGGTATAGTAGTTAAGTAAAAGTCGATATATAGTCACTTTATGATATTTGCAACAAGATTGATACACACTGTTTTCGCTTTTAACACAAATACGTTTTAATATATACACAACAATACAATTTACAATAATAGTTATTACAAATAATGATTTACAAACAAAAGTTTCACAAACTTACAAGCAATATAAAGTCTTCTTTCTAGTTTGGAGCTTCCTTGATATCTTATCAAAGTTCACAATGAGCGAGTTGATTACGAGTTGATATAGGTACAATTCATTTAACGGGAAGCTAGTTAGCTTTATCCTTCGTTATTTATCGGGCACACACACCGGGTTTTCCACGATAATTTTATGTAATGTTTTCATAAAAAAATACTAATGTCCGATGAGAATCCACTGAAGTTAAGTGAGTTGTAAGGTTCGAAATTTGTAAATGCTCCTGATCAAATATCTGAAGTTTTCCGATTAATAAGCATTATAACAATCACAGTTATAGCTTCAGAAGTTTTATAGCATACTGACTATAGCGAACTAATAATATATATACTCTCTTTTGGTGACACCAGATGGATGTTACCAATTTAAACAAATGCCATTTGGATTATTGAACTCAGCAGCAGCATTCAACTGCATGATGAGAGGGATGCTGTACAACTTCACCCACATCCAGCACTATGTGCATGATGTTTTCCCATACACTGCGATATGAAAAGACCATTTGATGAGACTTAAACAGCTGTTCCAGTGAGTGAGGGCAGTAGGCCTCACCACCAGATCATCCAAGTGCTACATCGGATATTCCATGCTAGATTTTGGCTGACATATAGTTGTAAACCGACAGATAGCCACGGAAAAGGAAAATATAATCCACATACAAGATACACCAGCTTCAACGACTAAGCAGCAAGTCAGATTGTTCCTGGAGTTAGCAGGAGAATACAGGAAATTCATCCCAAATTATGTTGAAATTACTACACCATTGACTTACCTGACCAAGAACGGCTTACCCAACAAAGTGAAGTGGGAACAATCGCACCAGATGGCATTCCAGAAATTAGAGAACTTGTTAGGAAGCTCACTAATTCTTAGAATGCCAGACTTCGACAAACCTTTCATTGTCCAAGCTGATGCTTCAGACATTGGAATTGCAGTGCTTTTGCAAGAACATGAAAGGGGACTTTTTCCGGTAACATACATAAATAAAAAGCTGTCAGATAGTGAGAAGAATTACTCTATGATTGAACGAGATTGTCTGGCCATCATATTTGCCATTTGGAAGTTCCAGAACTATCTATATGGGAAGAAGTTCATCATCCAGACAGACCTTCAACTACTTGTATACATTCAGAAGTGCAAGGTTCAGCACGAGAATCATGAGGTGGGTGTTGTACCTTCAGAACTACAGGTTCCACATATAAGCTATCAAAGGGACTGCAAAATGTTGGAGCAGACTGTATGATCAGACTCTGCATGTGAAAGAAAAGGTATTTGTATATCATTGAAAGGAAAGTATTGTAAATATTTATCTTGAAGAGGGATTTATGTCACAATGGCTGTCATTGATTTGTTGTGTTTTATGATCATTGCAATATTGTTTCATTTTTGTTTAGTTTATGATGTATTTTACGTTTGTGATTCGTTGTTGTCGAGAGTGTAGAGTGGCGCGTGGGAACTGATAGTGAAGAGGTGGTGGCGAACCGACGATGGGATGAAAGGTATAAAGTGGTCCAGCAGAGCAGAATGAGAGCATATTGCAGCAAAGTTATGGAGAAGACAATGTTTATGTCTATGCTGATGTATTTGTGTGTATTTAGTTCAGAATATATATATATATATATATATGTGTGTGTGTGTGTCTGTGGATATTGAAACAAGTGTAGTGTGTGCTGTTAATTGATCATTGCCTTTACCGTCAACAAGTCATAGACACCTAACCTAACCTACCAACAGATATAAAGTAAAGAATAGATTTTGGGTATTGTAAGTAAAGTTATATTTTATTCTTTCTTTAATAGTTGTTTGATTAAGAGTTTTGGTTAAAATGTTTGATATGTATATAATACATTTATTCTTGAAATTTTTCATTCCTATGTTATGTGTTCCTACTGTTACGTCTCTGGTCGTTTGTTAATTTACCGTATAATTTCTTTCGGTGAAACTTTAGCGACACAAGTCTTTTCTTGAATAAAACTAGTTTATTCTTTCTCAATACAACTTTGCAATACACTTAATTTCCAAAGTCATTTTAACTTAAACACACGCTATAATTCACAACAATTCACGCACTTTAACTACGGTCACTACCGCGCTTGACTCAATTGTCCGTCTCTGCCTGTTTGCAATTATCTATGCCGTCACTTCTTGTCCGTCTTATATATAAAAATAGAGGTCGTCTAGCAAACACTCGAGCCTTCAGGAACCTTCTAGATACTTATTACGTGTTACCAGGGTCACGTGACTTCCGCTGTCGTAACACTACCATGAAAATTATTTGCATAGTTACCCTAGTTTCTACATTAAGAATACTTTGCTTAATTATAATTAAAGCTAAGTTGAGCAGATGCTTAGTCGGCCCCTCTCTAATAAGATGTGTAACTAGAATGTAATAATCCTGAATATTTGCATAGAGATTAGAAGTATCTTGGTTTCTTTGTTTGTTGAATTTCACGCAAAACTACTCGAGGGCTATCTATGCTAGCCGTCCTTAATTTTAAAGTGATAAACTAGAGGGAAGGCAGTTAGTCAACACTACTTACCACCAACTATTTGTCTGTTCTTTACCAACGAATTGTAGGGCTGATCATCAAATTAAAATGTCCCAACAGCTGAAAGCCAAATATGCTCGGTGACGGGATTCGAGCCGGTGACCTACAGATTACAAGACGAGCACTAATCACCAAGCTACCCCAAAATCAGATTCCCAGAACTACTGAAAAAGATGCCAGGTTTGTTCTTGATGGTAATTTTTTGTTTTACTTCGTGTTTGTATGATAACAAAATTATAAAAAGAAAGGCAATGCAACTTTTAAATAGAATACGTATGCGAGCGAAGCATGGTTACAATTAATTATACCTGTCACAAAAAAAATAGTATTAGGCATATTATGTTTTTAACACTACATTCTGTATTCAGTCATTTAAGCTTTTTCAAGAAAAATAAGAGTGGATATTAATATTTCAACCACTATTGCGGTCAACTTATTTGGCTCAATCCAGTATACATCAAACTGGCTGGAAATTAATATAGTGCTGTTAAAATGGGTGAACATTAAATAAAGGCGCTGTAACAATGTAGTTTTCTGACACGTTTGAAGAATAAGTCAATTATTTGTCAAAATAAATGCAGAAAACGACTTTATATTACTTCCACGTCCAATAACTCCGTCACCACCCAACAAAATTAATACGGTTTAGTTACACTTGAAGAAATTACCCATCCACCCTTCAGATGACTTAATCAATTTCGCAATAAAAATAACTAAAAGATAATACAGCGTCGTTGGTTGAATAAAATATTTGGGTTGAGGCGTATGTGCAGAGTGAGTGTGTGACTTATTCACGTTCTAGAATAACTGGTAATACATGATATTTAATGTAATTTAATGGTGTCAAGGTCCTGTAACTAAGTTGGTAAACAATCTCTCATTTTAAACAAAAGAAAATATTATAAATCCTCAGTAATGCAGTTAAGGTGGATTACGGTAATTCAAAGTATATTTTTATGTTTTCTTCTTACTCTTACTTTTAGCATAGTAACAGCGAAAGGTAAATCTGAGAAACAGTCCAGAGAAGATATTGAACTACGTAAGACCATGGAAGAAAATGATATCATTCCCGATGTTATCGATACGACTCCTGTACATGTAATGGAGGTAAAAAAATAAAATACGCTTTCTCTTGTATGAATACAATTTAACTTCTAACAGAATATTTTCAGTGTCTAAGTCACTTTAACCGTAAGTTGTAGTTCAACTTCAAAGCTCTCACAAATTTCGAATATCCTCTAATAATAGTAATAACTAATATTACCAAATACTAGAATTAGTCTAGTCTAGCGTAAAAACCACACCCAATAATACTATTTACGTTTATGATTTACATCGATCTCTGCCTGCCTCTGTTTCCAGAACTTAGTAGTAGCCGTCGAAATCCAAACATGTAACTTTTATTAAACTTTCCCTACTGTATGTTATTGTAATGGAACACTTCACCTTATAAATAAAAAGGTTATTACTTTTTGTTGTACCAATGTTTTAAAAAGCAGCTTCTCACTAAATCTCGACTCTTAAAAATCATGGTTAAGTATACAAGTAAAATAAAGGTTTAGAAAGGAAGGTCTTATCTTACTGTTGCTAACATTACTTTGAATTGTGGTTAATGCAGTGGATTTAATGTATTTGAACTGTCGGAAAACTTTTGACTATTATCAGCATATGCTCCAGAAAATAAAAAACAACAACCTCCTGAAGTTTTTGTTTTAACTTGTATTTTTTGGGTAGGATGGAAGCAAGCTAAATGAACTGAGAGTTGCTTGGGTGGTAGAATATATTAGTTCTTAGGAAGTTATGTGTATTGTGAAGTTAGTGGGTTAATGTTAAAGGTAGTTTACTTAAGCGTTGTGTATTACTATTAGGTCCATTGCTGTTTTTATTATTAATAATAATGACAGCTAATGGAATAGCTAGGGAGCTCAAGTATGCAGGATATATTTCCTGTAGTTTTACAGAGATTTTGGTGACCTGAACAAACATGTGGCAGATGCACTATTAGTTATGATAAAAGTAAGGTTATCATACTGGTTATCGGTATAAATTATTTTTACAGCCTTACTTGGTTTACAAGTATAGTAGAAGTAGTAATATTGAAAGATTTTGAGGAAATTGGATGAGCATTTTAGAGTTATAAGATGGTAAAAAAAATCTGGACCTAGTTGTTACAATATTTCAAATTTTCAAAATAGTGTATGTTGGCTTAATTAAGCAAACAAGATTTTAGACTCTGTAGAATGAAATGTTGAGTATAGCTGATGTAGATCGTCAGTTCACAATATAAGTGGCTGGTTAGATCTCAGTTGGAATATTGTGTTCAGTTTCTGTTGCATGACTTAGACTTAGCTGAAGAGTTTAGCGAAGAGCAACCAGAATAATTCCAGATCTGGAGGGGTTATTATATAGGGATGGAATGAAATTGATTGAAATATTTTTTCATTGGAGAGAGGGACTCTGGAGGAGACATGATTGATAGGATCTATATATCCATATGACATTTTTTATTAAAAACAAGGAGGTGGGTTAGTTGGTGTGTGGAAAAGTTTGCCTTCATATATGATAGAAGCTGTAACATTGAAGGAGTTTGAGGAGATTCGATGCGTAGTGATAGCTTGGGTTGGCCAACTGGCCCCTTATTATCACTTGGAAGTGGAATAAGTTATGTTATATAACACTGGGAATAAAGAGAAGCATTTTGCTTTCTTTGCCAATTAACACTTGTGTAACGTTTATAATCTTGAGTTATTCATGCTTCAGATCTTTTGTCCAATGCCACTGTAGATATATTTATTTTATTCTAAATCTAGGCCTATACCACACATTTTTTGAAGGATTTTCACATAGATTCTATCTTGTCCAAAATTTTATTTTATATGAATATTTTTATGTAATGTCAAAATCTGAGATTTCTACATCAGTTAAAATAACTTTGAACAACAATATAAAGTTACCTGATGGCTAGTTGTTCCCATTAAATAGAACCATTTTTGTATGTTGTATTTACTGTTAGTGAAGACCACTTGGCTAGAACTGATGTAAAGCAACACTACTTCAAACTCATTCCCAAGTAGTTTTATTTAAATTATTATCTGTGAATAACAGTGTCCTGCACCTAGTTGTTCCATTTTTTGTTCAGTGTTTTCATAGAATATGATTAATTTGATTTGTGCAACAACAAACCTTTTACATTTTAAGGATAAAATTACAGAATAATATATTTCTCTGAAAAAATAATTGTACATTTGCTACACTAATTCTAGATTTAAATGGAATTTTTATGAATAATTTAGATGAGTATTACTTTTACTATAAGGTTTGGTATATTGGTCATAACCTTTTTTTAATTTATTAAAAGGATGTGTAAAAACTGGTTCTTTAATAATTTATTTTTGTGGGGGGAGTAATTTTAATTATGAATACTATAACCTGAATTACATTTTGTGATATAACGTATGGTAATATACTTGCAAGATTAAATTTGTTAAATTTTGTTTTATTACAAAACTATTATACATCTCTGGTATATTGTCAATAAACTTAATTTACTTGATCTTGTTTAGGTACAATATAATGATGTGAAGGTAATGCTAGGAAATGAACTTACACCAACACAAGTTAAAGACCCACCAACATTTATCAACTATCCCACTGAGGATGATACTTTATACACTCTGTGTATGACAGGTAAGTTTTGAAACATTACTTCTCAACTATTTCAAATAACAGAAATTCATACACTATATGTAACGAATCATTAGCTATCACACAACATTTTTAAAATTTAAAAAAACTAAATTTTTTATTTACTTTAATTATTAACCTCACTCTGCAAGGGTATTGCAATCAGGTCTGTTTCTGCGTGTGTATCTCAAACTATTAGGCTGGTGTACATGAAAGTTTTACACAATATGGGAAGTTAGTATGGGACAGTCCACCCCAAATTTGGTCCGGATCACTTTGACACATTTTTTTGCAGTTTTAGGTTAATAACTCTGTAAAGTGTGATCAGATTTCTATCAAATTTCATAGGCACATTAATCTGAAAATCCTTCTCAGAATGATCAATGATCTAGGTCACTTTTTGTGAGGGTGATATTTTACGTTATCCAATATAAATGCATGCAATCTCAAAGGAGTGGCAAGGTGAGGGTATGCAATCTCTCTGATAGCTCTTGTTTATATTTAAATGAAATTACCATTAATTCAAGACTTGTTCACCATTTACGATAAAGTTGATTCTTTCAGAAAATAGAATATGAAGACTAACAATGTTTGTAATCCTTAACTTTTAACAAATCTACAGTGAAAAATAAATGACTTTGCTATGAAAGTGAATAATGCACTTGACAATGCAAAATAAATCTAGAAAGCAGAACCCATATTTGAGTGATTGTTATTACTGTGTAAATTTGTTAAACAACCACTTTCCTTAATTGTATTAGGTTGAAGTTGTTAATAGATGTGTTTTTATGAAGTGGGTCTTCAGCACCATTTATAGTTTATAAGACATAACATTTAAGGATAACAAGGAATCTGTTTGTCCATTGAGGCTGTCCCATCCACTAATAATAATAATACTCTGTTTGTGTATGCCCTGAAAATGTACACACACCTTACTATCTAAATGTGTATGCATGTGCACTTCAATTCAATTGATGTAAACAAAAAGCAGATACAAAAGTTTTTAAAAAGTTCTAAAGTTTAAATTGTAAAATAACATCAGTATTTATTGATAGTATTAAGTATGGTAAAGTTTAGCCCTAACTAAACTAAAGCAAAAAGCATTCACAAGTTAGTGTTAATTTATCTCGTAATAAAGGTTTAACTGAAGCTAGGCCTATGAAAAGTGGACTTTTAGATTTTGATGTCTATGATTAAATTCTTTTGTATTATTCTAGAAATCCTGTAATAAAGAAGTTCTTTGGCAATAAAGATACTAACTTGACTGCAAATGTTTTGTGGGTCACTGCTAGTATAGTATTATTTACTCTAAAATCTATAACATTAAAGAATGATGTGCTACTTTGAGTCCTATGAAATTTATAAGTAATACATAAAACATTCTCAAAGCCAACCTTTTATCGTTTAAATATTTGTCAAGCCTTTCCTTGCATTTACTGCATCCGTTGCATCTGAAGGCAATTCCAAAGGTCAGTTGTCATGTTAAAAAAATAAGACTTGACTGAAGATGACTTCTACACTGCCAGTACCATTCTCCTACCATTCTCACCATTAAATACAAAGAAAAAAAGCATCAACAATCAATTCTTTTAACAATCTTTAAACACCTCAGTCAGATCCCTTCTAACTCTTCTTTGTTTTGTTTTTTTCAAGAGAAAACAGTTTGAGATCTTAACCTGTCCTTGTATGACAACTTTTCCATCCCAAGTATCATCCTAGTAGCCCTTTGAAACCTTTCCAACAACTCAATATCCTTAAGGTAAGGAGCCTACCTTCAGGCAGATAAAAAAAAAAAAAAAAAACTGTGGGTAACAGTTCAGATTTAATATGAAAATGTAAAATTCATATTATATATTGATGTGAAACTTAATGAAAATAGCCATTTACAACTTCCTCTCAAAAGCTAATACATTTTATATTTTCAGATCCAGATGCACCAAGTAGACAAACTCCTAAGTTCCGTGAATGGCATCACTGGTTGGTAGTCAACATTCCAGGCAAGAACGTCAGTGAAGGGGAAGTGTTGTCACAGTATGTAGGCTCGGGACCTCCAAAAGGAACAGGTTAGTAATGACATTTCATCAGATTGCCATTTTCAGTTTAGAGCTTTAGGTTTCCTAATGATTCAAACAAAATGAGTAATGGTAACCATATGATTTAGCTAGCTTAATGTATATTTATATTTGAAAAGTAGAATATGGCTGTGAATGGCTTTAGAATTTAGTTTATAATGTTCAAAAGGGTTTTAAGCACATAAAATAAATATTATAATAAAATGTTTCATGGGGCACACACGCAAGCAGCTCGTGGGTAATACAATATGTTAGCGTAACGTGACCTGCACGTTTCCTGAGTGATTTACAACTTGTAATGGTGCAGATAGTAGTTAAACATGGTTCAAAGGGCAATAAAATGTAATTATAAATAGGTGTATACTGTTATGGACTTGGAGTTTCTTAGGATAGATATCGTGTGTGTGTGTCACATGCAGCTTTGGCTTAAACTAGATGTTTTTGTGATGTTCAAATACAAAGTATATAGTTTCTTATGAATTAGAAACTCAAATTACCAATATTGACAAGCTAGAATATAAAATAAGAACCTCTTATCTTTTCAATTTGCTGAGATATTACTACATTTAGTGAATCAAATACAATAGGCTCCATCCACCTCTTTCATTTTTGGAAATACTTGCTTACGTACACCTACTTCTGTCTGTGACTTGAGAATAACCAATCAAAAGCTCAATGTCCCCCACGTGGTCTTCTCGGCCTCTAGAAGGTGGAAAGTTCCCAAGATTATTTCTTTGCCTTGAATCTCAGAAGGAAGGGATAAGTGAAAATGTTGTCCAAAAACTTTTTTTTATATATATAATATAAAATTATTTTGTTTTACATCCTCCACGTGTGAAATCTGACAAGACATAGTAAATTACAACAAGTAGCAAATGTTCTCATTGTTTTCTATATTTTTTTATTTACTGTTATATGTTTAAGAGAAAGAACTAAAATTTAAGAAGTTATTTGTAACTAGCAGTAATATTTTACAAAATCACAGTTCAAACTGAAGAGGGGTAACTTTTTAAAGTTAATTGTACTATTGTGAATTACAAGAGGTACATTTTTTTATAGTAGCTCCCAAATAATGTTTTGAATACCCCATCTCTAGTTGTCCATCCTACTGTAGGTGAAAAACTAATATACTAACAATAGAAAATCAAATCGGGGATAGGACCTGGATGTCTACAATGCCCAGAGTCCAGTAGTACTAATTAATGTTAAAACTATACTATCAAGTAACATAGCTCATAACAGTTACCAAACCTTCTGTTCTCCTCGCACACTAATAATAATAATAATAATAATAATAAAATGTAAGTTGGAGAGATTAGGATAAAATCTACAATTACCTATAAAAGGAAGATGGTTTTTTCATGCACCAAGTTCTTGCTTTTTAAATCATAGATGTAGTAGTAGTAACTAATAAAAACCACGTGAACATTGACATTATGTAAACAATGCTATTAACAACATAATTACCTAGGATATCTTGTTTCCTAGGTCTTTATTTTAACATGATTGATGTTAACAGGTGGTGAAATTGCTAATGCTAATAAATATTAATGGTTTATTTCATTGTGGAATTGTGATTAAAATGGTTGTAATATTATTAAATGAAATGCAAAACAAAAATTGATATGCAGCTTACCTTTTTTGTTATGCTATTCCTAAGTTGCATAAAAAATGAATTGAAATTTATAATCATTTGTATTAAAATTGTTGTATAAACTCTTTGGTACTCTACTTAACAATCTGGCTAAAAGAATAAACATTGCACAGATGGGTTGCTTGAAAAATGTCTCTTACTTACTGATAAGTGTGACATGCAATGTTTGAATAAGTCGCATGTAACTACTTCTGCTTCTTTAGTTTTTAATTTGATTTTAATATGCAAGAAACTAATGTGTGGAAAGACCAACTTTCTAGGTGGTTAAATACTTTAATATCTGATCACCACCTTACCTTATCATGGATAATAGCTTATATGCTCACTTAAATGTAATTATTAATTGTATTTTTCATTAAACACTAATTACCAACTACTTATATCCTGCCTTTCAACTGCTAATTTGCTGCTGCCTTCAGGGAAATCTGGAAGACTGTTTGTGATGGTAGTGGCTAGTATTCAATCTTGGGTTTTGTATATGGAAAAGCTGTTGTGCCATATAATTATCCAAGGTCTCCTACATAATTATGGATTTCATCCTAATCTGCCTGGCTTGCATTTTTATTAATACTAGCCATGTGTACCCATTAAGGAAACAAAACTTGTATAAGGGATAATATTAAATAATTCTCCCCTTATTTCTTTCATTATTAAATCCCCGATGGCATCATTTGATACTAATTGCATACCCTGCTTTGTGTAAAGTAATAAGTGACTCATTTAACTGATTAAATACATATCTTTCAAATTGAAAGTCAAAATTATCAAAAGAGAGGAAGTTTTCCATTTCAGGGTCGTCGTTTTTTTTGTTGTTTTTTTTAATTCTCTCTTCTTGGGCAAAAATCCTGAAACAAAGTACTCCATATATATCATTGGACAGTTTCAAGATACATGCAAAATCATTCCTGTAATCAAGGCAGCTAATTCTGCATGGTGGATTCTAATACTTGTAGATACACACATAATGAAATATGGGTGAAGTTTGGGTGACAGCAACATCAAATATTAGGTTGTCAAGAAATTAATGTCATGTTTTGGAACATTTCATTAACCACCCCCAAAAAATGTACATCACATATAATATTGAAATAAACCACCTAAACATCACATTAGTGTAGCCTATATAATGTGTAAAGTTTAGTATACTCTAATCCCTTATAGTGATAGCACACAACAACACACACATTTGGCATGTAATGCTGTTTGAATACAAGAAGGAAGCAATGCTTCTGTAGCCACAAAGAATATCAAAAAATTTTATGGAAATGTTTTGAATGTTCATAAGTGTCAACGATTCATTCAACAAATTTCATTCAGGTGACTTTAGCCTTAAAAACTATGATGGCAGGGGCCGACATGTTGGAATTGATATTGATGCTCTGAAGATGATTGTTGAATCTAACCCATGGCCACACACTCGTGAAATGGCCCTGAAATTGCATGTCTCTCATGAAACAATACGTAAACATCTAAGGAATATGGGAAAACTCCATAAAGAAGGTGTTTGGGTGCCTCACAAACTCTCCGGTGATCATTGTTTCTAGTGCAT